TAGTCCAATTTGTGCTAAAATAACACGTTAGGCCCGTTTTTAGTAAAAATAACATTTTTGGCCCATTTTAAATGAAATTTATTATAATTGGTCCATTTTATCAAAGATGACCATTTTAGTTCAAAAATACTAAAAATAACATAAAAGACCCATTTTATTAAAAAATGATCATTTTAGTCCATTTTTAACTTGTTTGACAGATAAGGTCCTTTCTTGTATTTTCTTTTAGGTTTATGATAACTTTGTAATACATGTTTATTATGTCCATATATTTTATGAAACTACATAATATAAATTATTTTGTAATCATTTTAAAACATGATGAAATCTCAAATTCATGGAGGTTTATCAAGAGTTTATAACATTTTACACACAATAGCATGAAAATATACACATGCAAACATAAATACCAAGTTCAAACACAAAACTAAGCTTGTAATCCCTCCCTAAAATTAGAAAACACAAAAATGAGGGAGTATGAAGCTCACCTTGGGTGTTTTATGGAAGATTGGGAGTGTGGAGTAGAGTTTATAAGCTTAAACCCTAAGATTTTCCCTTGAAGTTCACTTGAAGCTTCTAATCACCTTAAGAAGAGTCATACACACGAAAATTTGTGTGTAAATGGGGTGAAATGAACACAATAAGTGTAAGAACACAAAGAGTTTGTAGAAGTACTTACCAAGAAGTAGAGATCACTTAGAAGATGAAGTTATTTGAGGAACTAAACTCTTGTTCTTAAGAGAGTTTGGAAACGAATGTAGCATCACGGGAGAAATAGGAGAAGAGAATAGAGTGCAAATGAATTGGAATAAGATTCAGTTGTGAGTTATAAGGTGTAAAAGTGGTATGTTTACATGTTGGGTAAATTGGATTTTGCTTGGAAATTCGGTGGATTATACGGAGGTATGGCCTAATTTGATTTCCAACATATCTTTTGTACTTAAACTTATTGAACACATGGGTATTTCATTGGAAGTTCATGAGTTTGACAGAACACATAATAATTAAATCAAGATATGGCTGATTTTTTGCTTTCCAAGGCACTGTTTATGTACTGAATATATAATAAACAATGATATTCTCTGAAAAGTCCCAAGATTTGGCCGAGCACACTCTTGAATTCACTTTGTTTGACCGATTTTACCTCATCCCATGGAGAAATCGGTCTTAATTGTTTAGGAAAAAGGGAAATCAGTTTATATATATATATATTGAAAATTCGGTCCTTGAAGTCTTTTATATGGAGAATTCGGTCTTGGAAGGCCTAATACAAATAGGATTTTGGTTTTTATGTGACTAAAATAAGTGTGTTTGGTCATGAAGTGTTCATGGCCGAACACCCATTTGTTTCACCATTAAGTTTGTGTTTTGGTTGCTTTTGGTCCCTATTGATTTATTATGTCACTTGGCTATGTGTTGCTAAATTAATTCAAGTTTTTTGCTTATAATTGTATTCAAAATAGGTCCATTTGTCCTAAAAATGATACATGTAGAGAGTGTTAATGCATGCATAACCCTAAGTCAAAATTGCTAGCTGTGACATCATACCCCCGTTAGAGGGAATTTCGTCCCGAAGTTCATTCGAGAGTAGTCACGGAGAACTAGAGAAAAGATGGGGATAATTATGCATCATCTGGTCTTCACATTCTCATGTGAATTCAGGTCCGCATTTAGCGTTCCACTGAACCTTCACAATAGGAATATGACTTTGTTTAGTTCGCTTCACTTCCCTGTCCATTATATCTACTGGCTCTTCAACAAAATGAAGGTTCTCGTTGATCTCGATATCATCAAGGGGAATAATGAGAGTTTCTTCCGATAGACGCTTCTTCAGATTTGATACATGGATGACGGGGAGTACATTGCAGAGTTAGGATGGTAACTGTAGCTTGTAGGCCACCAGACCTATCCTAGCGAGGATCTCGAATGCTCCGATGTATCGTGGATTTAACTTTCCCTGCTTACCAAATCGGATCATCCTTTTCCAGGGAGAGACCTTGAGTAATATGCGATCACTAACCTGAAATTCCAAAGGCTTTCGCCTATTATCAGCATAGCTTTTATGTTGATCCCTGGATGCCTTGAGATGTTCCCTAATCTGAACAATCTTCTCAATGGTTTCCCTAATGGTATCCGGTCTGGTTAGAGTGTTGTTGATTACTAGTCCCATGGCCTGTTAAGTGTCTCTTACTTCTGCCCACACAAGGGTGATCTGCTTTTTCGTCCATAAAGTGCTTCAAAGTAGATCTGACAATTTGATACACGACACGATTAACACATCACGAACACGATACGAGTTTTTTTTGTATGTGTTTTAGAAATTCGTGTTTCGTGTTTATTCGTGTCTGACACATATTTTAAATTCGTGTTTTGTGTCTTACATGTTTCAAACACGAATTTACATGTTTAGACACATATAAGACACGATACAAATTCGTGTTGACACGTGACACGTACAAACACATATAAACATGTGTATATATATATATATACTTTAGGGTTAAATTTTATATTTATAATATATTAGGGACAATTTGCGTAAAACTCAATATATAGTTTATAGCCCTAGCTTAAAAGAGCCATTAAAAACGTGTTTATTCGTGTTTTTTCATGTTTACGTGTAACACGGATAAAAAACCTGTCTATTCGTGTTGTGTCAGACGCTTTTTTTACGTGTCGTGTTCGTGTTTGATACTCCTACTACTAGAAAACATCCCTTTAATGACGTGCAAACAATGACACGTATTGATAGAGGACACGCATTTATGCATGCCCTAAAATTATTGTCAGAAAAGGAAAAAAAGGAAATGCGGAAGTCGCCTTTCATAAAATGTGTGTCATCTAAAAGTGTCACTTTATAAAGCGTTTTAAGGCGGGATTTCACCTGCCTATTGGATCCCAAAAATTAAAGCCCCCCGCCTCTTCCAATTAACAAAAAAAAGCCCTAGGGTCTTCGTCTTCATAGCAGCATCGCACCACCACCCAACCTCCTATCTCGCACCGCTAAGTGTCTCCGATCATCTTCTCCAACCATTCTTTCCTGTCGCACTACACCGATAACAGAACCCCCATCAAGATATGTTACTAGTTGTATTTCCGGCTTCTAATTACGTCACATATCTTACCTTCCAACCGGCACAAAGTAAAATCCATCGTTTCGCCTTCTTCTCCGACCATTTGGGAGAATTTGTTTCCAAACGTTTCAACGTTTCATTACGTTTGACCAGCATCTAAGCCAATTTTCCCTACCATCTTACGAACACATCCTATTTTTCTTCTTCAACGATTCCCTTCTCCTCTAACCGCTTTCCCGGCTTCTCCCATGACCTATACGAACTACAGTATCGACAAAAACCTAATCTCACTTGCAACAAGAAACCCCTAATTCTTCCCTTTAACTCATCTTCGCAGAATCAAGCACATACAACCATCTTCTATGAGAGTATGTCTGTCTTCTTCCTCTTACAATCGCTAAGCCCTAACACCGATGATTGAAAGCCAATTGACCCTCCGTTCGAAGAAAAAGGTAAGCATTTTCCTTTATTTATTCCATTCCGTTAGTTCGACCTCATATTCTTCTGTTCTTCGTCTTTTTTCTTCCAGCTTATCAACTGTAGCCTTATGCTGTGTTTTCTTTAAATGGAGAACCATTCAATTTAGGGCTTGATTGCAATTTTCTCCACAAAGATTATCCCGACAAACTGTGCTGGTAATCCCTCGACTTTCCTTCAATTTTCTATATGAAATGTTTAAAAAAAATCATAACTCGTTGGTTCATGCCTCCAATTTTATTTCAAAGTCTTTTGGCGCCCACAATCTGAATGTTTTCAATATTGACCTATAGAATTGCGATGCAATTCATCTTTGTTGACCGGATCTTTCAGGATATAGAAATAACCATAGTTACAATTTAACTTGTGTAGTGGTTCAAGCCACCATTAATAAGCAGTACCCTCCATTTCTCAAGAACTAGCATGGGCCACCTTTTGTAGTTGTTATACACGTGATGATTTTATGAATTTAATTGTGTAACCATGAACACTCTGTTCCAAAACTATAAGAAACAAATATTCTCTGAAAATTAAGAGAAACAATTACTGATTAAACACATATCAGTGGTAAAAAAAAATATTAAAAACAAATATGTTTAACATTTTAGAAACACGAGTCTTGACTGTGACCAAACTTATTCCAGTTATTCCTGTTTTGTTTTGTACTTTTGTTGCTTGATATTATATATATATATATATATATATATATATATATATATATATATATATATATATATATATATATAATACATGGCAAGATATAAAGTGTAAAGTGTAAGGAGCTAGGTACCTGTAAAGTGCAAGCAGTATCAGTAGAATTGCAACCTACAATACAAAACCAAAAACAGACAAAGGAAAGGAAAGGAAAGCAAGCAGCTGCCCAATGCCGATTTTCAATTGCTTTACATTTTTGGCATGTTCTTACTTCTTAGTTGTATATCTTGACTGGCTTAGTTTATGGTTGTGATTGCATGGAATTATGGTTTTGACCTGTTTAGTTTGAGTGTAACTGTAAGTGACAATACAACTATAAGTTATTTAAATCCTACATTCTTATTGGTTACACTAATTTATCTCTCTGATTTACAGGTATCTCCTATGTACAGTAGGGTCTGTTTACATAAAATCAAAAGAAGCTCCTGATAAAGATGTTCTTAAAGAAGAAAAAAAATAAAGATGCTAAAAGCCAACTTGCTCCTGCGTCAGAAGAGTTGATGAAGATGTTGTTTAACCTGGAAACATAATCTGTGCATCTTAGCAGAAGTAATACCCAGGAAAATTGCTAATGAATTTCAGTATGATGTCATTATAATCTGTGCATCTTTTCTGTATTAATTTTACATGAAAATAATGTTTGTTTTTTTCTTGAAGGTTTTGAAGTACTAACAGAGCTTCAAAATCTATTGAAAGAGGCAACTGATAATCCTCTAAAAGAAAGCTTGATTGATGATGCCAGCAACCGATTTTCCTTCTGTTCATCCACATGTAATCAAGGATGAGGATGCCTTCAAATTAAAGGTACCGGTGACTATTTGTTTATATTTTTAAGAATTCATTGATCTATTAGGATCAATATGATGACATTCATTCTTGTTATATTGGTAGGTCAAAATGTTGGAAGCACTTCAAGATAATGAAATAGCTTCAGGGCTAGTAGGGTTTGATGTGGACATTGATGATTCACTCCATGATAAATATAAAAAGCTTCAATGTGAAATGGTCCCACTTCCTCATGATAGTGAAGATTATCAGTTAGTTGAGAAGTATCTCCAAACTACACATGCCCCTACACAAACAGTGTGGCTTTTTTGACTTGCAGTTTCTTGGGCTTTTTGGTCTTTTGACATTATGCTGAAAGGCTGGCCTTGTTTGTACTTTGTAAATTGTAGGATTGGGCACTTGAACTGGAAGAAGTTTTTACAGTTGAAATACAAGGAGAGTTTGATAAGTTTGTTCCATATAAAAATAAATTCAAGAACAAGATACTCCTTCGGCAGGTACACATAACGTTTGTTTTGTTTTTTTTTTTCCTGATTTTTCCTCTAAAAAAAACGATCTACATGTTTATGAAGTCTTTTGTCATTAGGTCGAGTCTGCTTGCATCTTATCTCCTATGGGACTTGGGTAATGTTGTTATATATACAATCATAAAACTACTCCCTAGTATTGTGTAGTTTATGATAAAGTTGGTCAACAGAGGAGGAAGTGTTGCTTCATCTTTGCTCCAAAATTATTTATATTTCTTGCAATTCATCTTACATTTTCCCTTTTCCACTTTATATAATTTACAATTCCATTATATTTATATGTAGATGAGTAGTGCTGCAGGTAAGGCTCCTGCACCAGGTCAAGCAGTATATTCTTCTTAAAATTTTGCTTTAAATGGCTACTTTCATTCCTTGCGATGTGGTACACCAACTTTATATTAACTTTTTTTTTTTAAATAAAAAATCAAAAAGTTTATAATTATGATAATCACACTTTTCTTGTTTATTTCAGTTTTACCAAAAGGGAATCAGGGTAACGGATGTTTGCCCTGGGCCAATAGAGACATCAAATGCACCTGCTACAAGCACAACATCCAAGGAGGTTAGTTTAATATCATGTTCCATCACCTGCTGCTAAAATAATGCCTGATATTTGTTATAAAGGGAAAAAGTCCAACAAACTATGCCAATTGTTTCAGATTAGATCCTTATGGGTTGGCAATAGCAGGTTTACCGGTTAAGTCAACTTTAAAATGTTGACTTTGCTATAGCCACAAAAATACTTGTTCAAGGACCTAATGTGGATAAAAAAAAGTTTCCTGACTAATCTGGGACAATAAGTATAGTTTGTTGGAGTTTTTCCGACTTTACCCCTGTTATAAATTCAATGGCATGTTGATTATTTTGTATAGTAGATAGATAAAATCTGATGAATACTAGGATATTTCTATCTAGGATTGAACTGCACATGCACTCTTCTGGTAGAATTTACTACAATTAGATGTACGATATATAACAGTCTCCCATTTGGCGATGAATTGTTGCTTTCAAAACAAACAAAACTATCATAACATGTCAAAATCAATAGCTAAAGCAACCATGAGTAAGTTTTACTTGCAAACACAGTTTATTAAACCACAAGAGTAAGCTTCAAATTGATCATAAAGTTGAGTAATATATAACAATCTCCCATTTGGCGATGAATTGTTGCTTCCTTTGTATTTTGGATTGAAGGAATTTCACAAATCCATTTTCAATTGATCTCATGTGCTTGCTTCACTGTGGAATACTTGCACTTAATGAACTAACCACCAATTTAGATGTTCCAAATGCCGAAAGTCTGGCTGCTGCTCTTGTAAGGTACATTTTTTACTGTTGTAATTAGGGATGTTCCAAATGCTAAACGTGATGATTATAGGTTGGGCCAAGGATTATCATCATAATCTTTTGGCTTTTAAGGTTGATTTTGAGAAGGGCTATAATTCCTTAAGATGAGATTATTAAGATGAAGTCCTATATGGGGTTTGGTGCCTTTTTTTTATTTATCATTCTGATAATTTTGAGAAGTTGGATTTGTGCTAATCAAGAGGTAATTCTTCTAATAAGCCATCAATTCCAATACAGTCAACTGTTTTTTAGATTCTTTATGATTTGTATTTAGTTTAATCTTCTATCCAGACCAAATTATCCTTGAAAGGAGTTATCAATGATCATCATTTTTGGCGCATCCTGGGAAATTGTTCATAATTGGGCTATTAATGTTCCTGTTTGTTTTCATATATGCAGGTAACAATCTTGTTGAAAGGACTTATGAATTAGATGTTAATGGTAACAAGTTTAACACTCGAATCCATACGATCAGATGTTAATGGTAACAAGTTTAACACATGTGTCTTTGCTATACATACAAATTAGGAAGGTAGATCCGACTTTGGACATGGAGGCTGATGAAGGAGACAATTACACACATATTCAAGTAAGAAACAGAGTTGGATGATTATTTGTTAGTTTTATAGGAATGTATAACCCATGTTAGCAATGAATTATTTTTGTTTAACATTTGAATGATTCTTTGTATGACAGATTATAATTTGCGTTATTTATTTTATTTTTTGAGTATGAAATTTTACTTTATATTATGCAATGGATTGTATTTTTTTATATGGTATTTTATTTCTATTATGAGAGATTAAATGAAAATTTAATTTAAAAACTAATAAATATACAAATATATTTTTTTAAACATTTAAATTTACGATATGCAAAAATGTATGTCATCTTCATTTATGACATGACCTTTCTTGACAGGGGTTTTAATGATACGCATTATGTGTCGTAAATGCGCGTCGTCTATAGACGACGCGCAAAAGCGTGTCGTCTCTCGTTATGACAGGGCCTTTCTTGACGCGCATTTGCGCGTCGTCTGAGCATTTTACGACGCGCATTGCGCATCGTAAAATGTTGTTTTTCTGGTAGTGCCCAAACACGTTTTATAATTCGTGTTGTGTAAATTCGTGTATGGCACAAATACACGACATGTAAACACGGATTGTCATGTCTACTTCAAATGGATCAACCTTTATGCTCGTGTGATAGCTATTATTGTATGAGAATTCAACGAGTGGCAAATGAGTATACCATGTCTTGCCGAAATCTATCACATAGGCTCTGAGCATATCTTCCACATTAATCTTGGCATGAGTGAGGCACTTGCCCACAAAAGCGGCAATCTCTGCTTTCATGCTCGGCCACCAATAATATTGTTTGATGTTCAGGTACATTTTATCGGAATCTGGATGGACGGAATATCGCGTCTCACGGGCTTCGTTCATGACTATATCTCTAAATTCTCCAAATCTTGGGATCTAGATCCGGCTAATGGAATAATAAGCTTCGTCTTTTTGACTTTGAGATTTCTATCCATTCCACATAGTGCTTCCTTCGTGACATTCTCCGGCTTCGATGCTTCCAAAGCCTGTCGTAGGTGTTGACCGCGTTCGTTCTTGTTCCGAGAGCAGACAAGTATGTTATCGATGAATACAATTACAATGTTTACTAGGAATGGCCGGCAAATGTGGTTCATGAGGTCCATGAATGTTGCAAGGGCACTCGTCAGACCGTAGAGCATAACGACAAATTCGAAATAACCATATCGATTTCGGAAAGCAGTTTTGGGGATATCTTCTTCCCAGACTTGGAGCTGATGATAATTGAATCTTAGATCTATTTTAGAGAAATAACTAGCTCCTTGAATGTAACGTCCTGTTCCGAATTGACTTCTAGTCTAAGGATGTGGCCCAAATATTGGTCATCATAAGGATTAGGGCTTCTGAAAAGGTAGGATTTAGGCCCATTTGGGTGCGGGTGATGTATTATAAGTGATTAGGGTGTTCGGTTCGTGTTTCGGAGCCAAGGGGGTATATCGATGAAGCGGTAGTTTGGGATCTTTATGAATTGTGGATTTTTTTTTCAGAAGGTTTTGAGGTGAGGAAAAGTTGATGGATACGTAGACCTTCTCGCCACCTTTCCGTGGATATAAGGATCGTCAGAATCGGGTTTATAACGAAGAAGTTATGGCCTTCGGAAGTTTCATGGTTTTCAGGCTTAGCCAAGTACGCGGGGCGTACACAAAGAGTACACGGGCATACTAGTGAAAAAGGCAGTATGTTGGGCGTACTGACCAGTATGGTCGCGAATGTTCTTTGGAGCACATTGGGCGTACCAGAATTATGTTGGGCGTATGCCAATCAGATCATAACCCTATTTTAAGGTCTTGGACCCTATTTAAGCTCCTTATTGATAGGTTTTATACAAACAATCATATGTGTGCATGCAACCCTTGATTTGGATCTATGTTTTCTCTATTAGATACATAACTTTATGAACACAAAAAGAACCCTAGCATGCACCTAGGTATTTCGAAATCTATGTAGTAGAAGGGATTACATATCTCTTGTTGTTATATTGTAATAACAACACAAATCTTCAATCTCTTTGTCTTGGAAAGCAAGTACCACAAGTGTAGTACCTTTAATGGCTCACAAACACCACAAGCAAATGGAGAGGCAAGAGAGAGAGAGGGGGAGAGGCAAAAATCGGCTCTAGGTCTTCTAGGGATCAAGTGGCCGATTTTCTAAGGCCTAAGGGGTCTTTATATAGGGTAGAGATTAGGGTTTCAGTCCTTATCCTTATCTGGTTACTTGCCCACCAAGCAGCCCATAAGATAAGCCTTGAATCCTTATCATGGACGAATTCTAAGTCCTTATCACCTTGAATTCGTCTACCCCTTCCTTGGGGCAACCAATGCCCTAATTTGCAACTATCACATAATTACAATTCAATCCCTCTAGTTTAATTAATTACATTTAATCACAAAATTAATTCTTAATTAATTATTGAACAATATTAATTAAACAAATATGATTTCTCCTTTAATATATTATTCTTATAATATATTAATAAATCATAATAACCTCTTTCTTTATTATTTCTCCAGTCAAGTTGCTTTGGTGAAGGCAACCCAAAAGGACCATACACAACCGGGTCAAGTACTTACCAAAAATGGTTACGGGCTTAGACACTAATCCAACACTTATATCATAACCTAACCCTAATACCTTAAGCCTCCATCCCTCCAAACCCTAGAAATCGACCCTTAGCCCCCATTTGAGTGATTGTAGAGCTTCAAAGTGATTTTTGGTGTGTTTTGGTGCTAGAAGAGGAAGAATGAACTTCTTGAAGAGTCATTGTTTGACTTGGAGCTTTTGGATCCAAGCTTTGTGCACCTAGATCTATATTCTGGAGGTATAAAGTCTCAACCTTGACAACTTTCTCATGTAGATCTATCTAAGTGGTACATTTTTATGGTTTTTGGTCCCTTTGAGGTGGTTATTGTGAGTAGAAGTTACTCCAGAACCTTTGAGCCTCTTATTTGATCCTTATTGAGGTTATGGAGTCATAAAGTTTAGATCTTGAGAGGTATAAACCTTCCATGCATGATTTGGTAGTCATTTGATGAAGTTTGGAACTTAGGTTTTAGATTTAGGCCCCATTGAGTTATGCTAAGTCATAAATTTGGAAACTTTATGACTTAAGAAGTCCTTTGAAATTAGATCTGGAAGTTTGGACTGAGGTCTTAAGGTATTAAGAAGTTCTAAGACATTTTAGGAGTGATTTTGACCTTTTGGAATTCATCCTTGGTGTTTGGGCTTCATTAAGCCATGCAAAGGCTTAAAGCATTCGACTTTATGGGTCAAGTCACTTATATTAGGACATTTTGAGGTTTTGGACATCTTGGCTTAATGGATTAAGAGTTAGGATTGAGAGTTGGTCAACAGGAGGAGTACGCTAGGCGTACAAGCCTGTACATGCAACATACAAGCCCTTAAGCCAGTACGCTTAGCGTACAAGCTGAGTACGCCCCGCGTACCCAGCATAATGGGATTTGGGTTTTTGGGCTTCGGTTGGGCCATCTTCTAGGCTTGTTGTTTTGGGCGTTGTTGGGCTGTCAAGTTTTGGGTTGATATTTTATTTGTGGAGGCCCACTATGGTCTTGGGCCCAATTTGGAAAATTAGGCCATGGACCGGGCCACAAGTGATTTTTAGCATTTTTGGTTCAAGTGTTTGGATTATTAGTGGGCCATCAGAATATGAAGTGTATTGGACTTGAAAGAATGATTGGGCCTCATGGCAAGACTCATGTAGAGGTTTGGGCCCTATTTAGAAAATTTGGCCATTGAGTGGGTTATGGACATTATAGTGTTAGGCTTTTGTTTGGGTTATGTCCTTAGTTCCAGATCATAATGGGCCATGGGTAGAATGGTCGTTACACCCCATGCAGGGATTAAGGATTTTGGTATGGTAACCAATTGCTAATTGGGTATGTTGATTGGTATTGGTAGCTCAGGAAGTGGACAGGGCAGCAACAAGGATTTCTTCGGGAAGCTTCTGCATTCGAGGTGAGTTACCTTCCAGTAGCGGTGGGTCTACGTCTACAATGTCGGCCCACCAGTAGGAGTTGTAAGTTAGATGGTTGTCTTTGTGATATTCATCTAGGTTTGCTACTACCTGATACGTTTATGTGCTAGCATGATATGTTATATGTGATAGTGGTAGTAGGAGGGGAATTGTCCCCAAGTTCGGTTGTTAGGACCGAAGGGTGGGTTGGGCACCCCAGAATTGCCTAAAAGTATGTTTATGCTATGATATTATGTGGTAGTAGTAGGAGGTGAAATAGTCCTCATATGTCGGACGTAAGGACCGAAGGGTAAGTCAAGCACCCCAGAACGGCTTGACCTGGGTAGGTCATGCACCTCAGAATTGTCTGCCAGTATATGTGTGTTATATTATTACATGGTAGTGGTAGGGGTGAAATAGTCCCCGACAGTCGGGTGAATTAGACCAATGGGTAAGTCAAGCACCCCAGAATGGCTTGACCTGGGTAAGTCAAGCACCCCATAATGGCTTGACCTGGGTAAGTCAGACACTCCAAAATTGTCTGTTAGTATGTTATGGTATGGTATGTGGTATGATGGGGGAACTCACTAAGCTTCGTGCTTATAGTTTTCAATTTTGGTTTCAGGTACTTCGTTTTCAAAGGAAAGGAGTCGGCTTGATCGCAACGCATCACACCATGTTTTCTACACACGAGATATTTGGGATTACACTCTGATATGGTTTTATGATACTATGTTTTGATTATTGACACTTTGGTTTTGACATGAGATATTATTATGAATGTTTTTATATTGATGGTTTTATGTAATAACTTAATTAAAACGAACTTTTTGGCCTATATTTTTGGGATGTTACATTGAAGTTGGTCAAATAGATCATCAATTTGTGGAAGTGGGTATCGGTTTTTCATGGTGAGTTTTTTCAACTCCCGATAGTCGATGCACATTCTGAAGGATCCGTCCTTCTTCTCGACAAACAAGACCGGAGCTCTCCAGGGTGAGAAGCTTGGCCTGATGAATCCTTTATTCAGAAGGTCACTCA